GGGGGTGTGGTCACAAGGTGGGGGGAGGTGGGTACCCCCACACCCTGGGGGCAGCCCTGGTGTCCTTCCACCTGCCCCCCACAGCAGGCCCAGGCTCCAGCCTGCTCTGGAGCCCCCTCTCCCAGACCCCTGCCCCCCAGTACCTGGTGTCCTTGGTGGCAACAAAGACGACAGGGTTGGGGGCATCAGCTGGGTTGAGCTTCTGGCGCTTGGCGGCTGGCTGCGCACTGGCCCGGAGCCCTGAGCTCAGGGGCCGCCCGTTGGCTGAGAAGGGGACGCCACCCCCCACCACCTGCGCCGCCCACGTTGGGGGGGTAGGAAGAAGGGAAGCTCAGCTGTGCCCTGGCTCCCCAGTCCAGCCCTGGCCCCCCTATGATTTCCCCCCCGCGCCCCCCGATGCCTGACAAAGCCCCCCCACCTTGCGTACCCGGGCCACGCGGTGCGCGTCGCTGGCCCCCTCGTAGGCCCTCTTGCCCACGATGCCAGCCAGGCCCCGGCTCTGGCTCATCTGGTTCCGGTTGATGGGTGTCTTGGTGCCACGCGGCGTCTTGGGCTTCAGCGGGGCCTGGGCCGCTGGGTAGAGGAAGAAAAAAGAGGGCTGTAAGAACCCCTGTGGAGGCCTCCCAGTGACATGACAGTAAAGAGGTGCCAGGCCAGGTCCAACCAGTGCCCCATTCCCAGCCCTACCCCGGACTCCCAAGCCAAGTTGGTGGCATTGGCTGTGGGGAAGCCAGAAGTCCGGGGCCATGTCCGGGCTCCATCTCAGGGCAGGGGGCGGCCGAGAGGTGCCTGCTGGCTCCGGAGATACAGAAGAGCATATGCTCTGCCAGACCTTAGCTCTGTCTGGCCCAGTCTCCCGTGTCCCCCAGTGGCAGGGAGCAGAGTGACTGGATCTGAGCAGGGTTTTCCTGTTCCTCTCCTACACACAGCGTCCAGCATGAAAGGTCCAGGATGTTCCGATTCAGAGACCGTGCCCTTCATACTCATGCTCCATAGTGACTCATGCCCCTTTCCTCCAAGGACATGCCTGGTCCCTTGAGGAATCAGGCTGAACTCCCAGCTTCCCCCACACCTGGGGGCAACGAGCCCCACGAGTGAGAAAAAACTGCCTGGTATTGGTCCTAAATTGGCAGCCTGCTAGTTTCCCTGTGATCCCTCCTGACTTCATCTTCCCCAATCAGTGATTTATAAACTCTTCATTTTTTCCTCCCAAGCATCTCTCTTCTACACTGACCAGGTCTGGCCTTGTTAGCCTCTCCTCCTAGAGAAGCCCTTCCAGGTCACTAGTCAGCCTCGCTGCCCTTCTCTGGACTTCTCTATCCTTTTGGAGGTGCAGGGACCAGCACTGGGCAGTGTTCCAGAGCCCTGAGCTGATGTTTATAACCAGCTGCCCATGGTGGCTCCCAGGTCTCTTTCCTGTGTGGTGACAGCCCATCACTGCATGCAACGCTTCTGTCATTTCTGCCCATGTTTTAGGAGCAGTGGGCATCAGCCAGGTCCCTCCTCAGCCCGAGTGTGCATCTCCAAGCTGCCCTCACCTGTGCTTGGGGCACATTATTCCACAACCCCCGATCCTGCACAGAGCATTGCCACAGTCCAGAGAAGGGCAACTACCATGATGAGAGGCCTGGAGCTATGACCAGAGCAGGAGGGACTCAAAAGGCCAGGACTCCTCAGTGTGGAGAAGGTTGAGGGGTGGCAGAACAGGTCTGTCATGTCATGACAGGTGTGGACCAAGGGAACTGAGCTGTTGGTCTGGTGAACAGAATGGGGATGGAGGGAGGGGGGGAAGAGTTTCCTCTGAGCTGCTGTTCTTTTGTCTGCCAAATCATGCCAGAATTTTCCCAGAGCTGGGAAGGAAAGAGCAGGGCTTTACCATGAGGTCCCATAGCTCCCTGCCTTCTCATTGCCTGGGACGGAAGAGGGGGGGGCCGCGGCGCAACAACAACGGGACAGGATCATGGCCCTGTGCTCCTAGTTGACACCTGCCGGGAGGCAACAAACACACCCTGACCTACCTGGGCAGGAGCCTATTCAGTTCCCATTCAGGGCCTATTCAGTCCCTCTCCAGTCCACCAGCTGCTCTGGACCCCTCCCCATCCCCAAGACAGGCAGGGCGGGGGCTGAGGGATGGCGCTGGGCCTATCTGTCTCTGTACAGGGGGGTTGGAGTCCCTGCTATGGATACCGATGGCAGAGAACATCCCCCCATAGATGCTCAGGGACCCTAGCACACAGAGGCCTCCCACCTTGCCCCACACACACCAGCCTTACCCAGCTCCTTGACAATAGTGGCCAAGGGCAGCCGTGCCAGCGGGTGGATCTTCAGGGGTGTCTTGGCTGCCTTGGGGAGGCGAATGGAGCCTGCAGAGGGAAGGGGCAGGGACCAGGTATCAGGCAGGGGGGTACAGTGGACACTCACACCACTACCCAGGCTTGCTTACACCCTGCCCCCCCAGCACATGTCCCTACCCCTGCCCCAGGCACTCTCTCACCCCCCACACACACATGCCGCCCCATCCCCACTCCCTGGCTCTCACACATGCACCCCCCCCGCCCTATCCTGGGCTATCACATACTTCCCCTGGCACGCACACACAGCCTTGATAGCACTGGCACTCATGGGCATGGCAGAGTCTCCCTCACCTGCCCTACACTCCTTGAGCCCCCCCCCACCCCTGACCTTGCCCGGCTCCTACGCACACTCAGCCTTGATAGCATTAGCATTGATGGGAGCGTAGGGGCGGCGGGCGGCACGCCGGGGCTGCAGGATGTCGCGGCAGACGCGGCGTGCCAGGCGGGTCAGCTTTGTAGTCTGCAGCAGGAAGGTCTGTCTGTTCTTGGCCAGCAGCTTGGCTCGGCTCGCGCTGGTTGTATAGGGTGACAGGCTCTGTGCCTCTGGCCGTGACAAGTGGCCCCGTGAGTGTGGCTCCTGCCAACCAAGGGGGGGTGGGGGAGATCAGGGCTGGCTCCTGGAGACCCCTGCCCCCCAAACACAGCCCAGATGCAACCAAGGGGGTGAAGACCAGGGCTCCCCTCCTCCAAGAAGAGCCACAGCTGGCTCTTGGGAATCCTCTGTCCCCCCCAAAAGGGCTATGGGGGAAGAGAGAAAGAAGGCCCAGACCCCAGAGGGAAGTCAGGGGCCCCCACCCCAGTGCATTACCGTGGTGCTGCGGGCAGCGCCCTCCAGCTGCGTGGGGGTCTTGAGCCCCCCGTACTTCTTCCAGTAAATCCAACAGGAGGCACAGAGGCGGCACTGCATGTTGGGGGGGCCCCAGGCATACCACTGGGCCGACTGTGTGGCTGTGGTGGGGAGACAGGAGTCAGAGGAGGGGCCTTGTGCCAGGCAGCCCCCATCCTGCCCCACCGCCGCCCCCAACTCACTGTGGCAGCTCTCGCAGGTCAGCCCCTTCTGGAAGCCGGCACCATTCATGCCGGGTTTGGAGCCCACCGAGATGATCTGATTTGGGTTTGGCTTCGTGCTAGGGGTGGTCGTGGGAGGACACGGAGACGATGTCACCACAGTTCTGGATCCCTCAGGCCCCACTCCCCAGTCTTAGTAGGACTGGAGCTCTGCCTCCCAGCCCCACACTGAGGAGGTGGCCACACCCCCAGGCCCAGACTCCCTGATGGGGATGTGACCCCACCTGCTAAGCTGAAGCCCCACCCCACAGGCCCATACTGTCTAGGTGGGGCTGTGGCCCCACCCAGAGGCACAGACCTCCTCCCCCCCAGACGGTCACTCACTAAGTGGGGATGTAGACCTGCTTCAGTTTGCTGTCAGCTTCCGCTGCCTTCAACCTTTTCTGCAACCAGAGATGCGGGGGTGAGTGTGACCACCACGGGGGCTCTGCCCCAGGACCCCGTCCCTCTCATTGGGCCCCATCAGGCAGCAGGACCCCGTCCACAGGCAGCACTCACCTGTTGGATGTAGCGGTCAGTGGTTTTCCACATGTAGTAGAACTGCACGATGCTGGCCAGGGACTTCCAGGGCAGCTGCCAGGGGCAGGAAGGTGTCAGATAGCGACATAGGCCCCCTCAATCCCTCCCCCAGGGGTTGCACATAGAAAGAGGAGCTGAGATGGCAAAGCTCTCCCCCAATCAACCCTGTCCCAGGACGTGGGGTGTGTCATACAGCCCAGAGCCCCCCCAGCCACTCTACACCCCAAGTCCCAGCCCCCCCGGCACTCACGAAGTCCTGCCGGATGTCATTGAAATCCTTGCCGTACTTCTCGAGTGCCTCCTCAAAGAGCATGGCCTCAGAAGCTGACCACTCCTCCATCTCATCACGGCATAGCACTGGTCCCCCCTGCGGCACCAGCGTGGACATGGCCTTGGCCAAGTCGTACCCGTTGCGCTGCAGAGTGTCCATGGCATGGAACTGGGGAAGGGATGGAAGGAGGGAGGCCATAAGCAGGGGATGCCAGTGTGATACCAAGATATCCCCCACCCACCCCAGAGA